TTCCTCTGCTCCCTCTCCTCTTGTCTATGTTCCAGCTTCCTGGTATTCAATTTCTCAGGCTGCATGTTAGTTGTTCAAAGGAATGATACCATGTATCTCTTAAGAACAATGATACTGTACTTTATCACAATGTAATCGGCACAGTCGGGACTATCCACTGAGAAAATATTCGGATACAATGGTAGCTCATACACAAACCATATCCAGATGCAGATTTTGATAACTCAGTATCTATGAATGGTCTCCAAGCTCAGACCCTGGAGACTTACAGTTTGTGGGTAGCATTCCGATGCGTCAGGTGCCCTCTTGTTTGGCACCATTTTATGGGCTCTGGTCCCTTCCCTCCAGATGGAAGCACTTTATTTTTTCTGTATTTCCAGAGCTTCAGAATTTGTTCCCTTGTCTACTTGTTATCAAGTCCCACAGCTGCTCTCAGCTGCCAAAGGGATTTTTGTCTCCCGCCTGCCCTCCCCTGCCCCATGAAGTTCAGTAGCTATGTCTGGTTCAGGTGTGTCTGATGTTGGCTTCTTTCTGTCCAGCATCTTTCTTAGCTCTACCTACTAAAACAAACACCATGCAGTGTGTCTTAGAAAGACTAGAAATTCAGTTCTAATGGTTCTGGAGGCCAGGATGTCCATGGTCAAAGTGCCGGCAGATTTGATGTCAGTGGGGAGGTCCTGGTTTCTAGTTCACAGACAACACTCTCACATGGTGGAAGAGACAGAGGAGCTCCTGGGGACCTCATTGGTAAGGGGGTAGCCCACCCCATTTTTCTCTTACAAGGCCCCTCCCCTGGCGTGCAAGGAGAAGAGACCTACCCATTTCCCAAAGGCCCCACTACTTAATGGTGAACACATCCAGACTACAGAAAAAGGAATTTCATCTCTTAGGAAAGTTGTGAATTGCAGTTGCTGGAAACTGGATATAGTGAATGCCATCACACAGAATGGTATAAGTCCCCCTTTCCCACTGGCCATCCATATCTAGTCAGTCACTCCTGAACACCATGTCCTAATTGCAGTCTTAGGATGGTGTCGACCCTTCTAACTTTCATGTGGAAAACTAGGAACCTTCTGCATTTAGATCAGGTCCACTCATGTCCTACAAAGATGCACTCTAAGTCCAAGACAAGAGAAAATTGTCAGTGTGTGACAGTGGCCTCTGCCTATGATCCACAACATCAGCCCAGATCCTCCTGATCAGCATCACTAAAGGGTCATTGCTAGCTTTATCATTATTCAGTCGAAAGAAAACAATACAACATCAGACCCTAAGCTCCTCCTCCCTAAAAAGGTGAGGTTTCATTTACCAGGAGCATCAGTGACTTAAGTATCTTTTCCCATCTCCGTTTCCCTCTCATGCTATTGCTTCACAGCCCCCTGCCTCCCCAGCTCTCACCCTGCCCACTTTCTTCAAGCAGAGTTTCCGGTAGCCTCGTTGGCATGGACACGTGCCTTTCTTCCCACTTTCTGTCCGTTCTTCGTTTTGTAGATTAATTAGTTTGCCTGGCTTGCTGCCCCAACACTAACTTCTTTACCCTGTGGGTTTTCTCATTGCTATGCCAAGTGCCTGACATGCGCAGCTTAAAAGGAGGAAAAATTGATGGCTCATAAGTTCAGAGGGCTTAGTCCATGGTTGCTTGGGTGTAATATGCTGGAGCAGAGCATCATCGTAGGATTGTAGGTGAAGGGTGGGGGTCAGGGGGAGGAGATTTTGTATCTCATGGTTGACAGGAAATGGAGTGAAGAGGAACCTGAAAAGCAGGTGTAACCTTCAGAGGAGCATTCCACTGACCTAGTTCCTTCAATGAGGTCCCACCTCATAAAGTACCCAGAATCTCCCCCAAAATAGTACTACTCGCTGGGGACTAAGCATTCAATGTGAGTCTGCAGGAGACATTTCACATTCAAAGAAAAACACCTTAATGGGCCCTGGGGGAAACAGAAAAAGTAGCTCCATGAATGTCCTTTCTTCTTAGGAAAGAAGGGTTGGGGGAGAGGAACAATAAGCACTCATTATTTGATATCTTTTATTTCATCACTTTCATACCAAACTTTTAAATGACTTGAACACAACATTTTTTTGGAGGTGCTTTTGCTCTGAGAATATGCCCAGAGACCTCTGATTTCTTAGAAAGTCCAAAATTTAATTTGGAGCTCTGTTCATCTATATTCTTTGTCTGTTCAACCCATAGGAAATAAATATTTACTTATGTGCTTCCAAGCAATTTATTTTGGTGTTGTTTTTCCAGTATTGGGGTGAAATTGGAGGCTCATTTGATAATTCTGTGTTTAACATTTTGAAAACAGCAATATTTGAGTTCTAATTTTATGCTTGCTATATTACCTGTCATTTTTACTTCAGTCATACATGTAGATGTTACCTAGTAGCTCATTTATATTTCTTTCAAATGATTATTTTAAAAATATTTTGTGTCAGCCTAGCATTAGTGGCCCAGTGCCTGTAATCATAGACACTCAAGAGGCTGAGATCTGAGAGTGGAGGTTTGAAGCCAGCAGAAAAGTCCATGAGACTCTTATCTCTAATTAACTAGCAAAAAGTCAGAAGTGTGGATCAAGTGAGTGTTCTAGCCTTGAGCAGAAAAAGGCAAGTGAGAGTGTGAGGCCTTGAAGTTGAGCACTGGTACCAGCACACACACACACACCACACACACGCGCGCACGCGCGCGCACACACACACACACACACACACACAAAATCTGTGTCCATACAAAACTGCTTACATTTTATTGGGATGAAATAAAAATAACCCAAAATTTCCTGTTTTACCCATTATTACGTACACAATTCAGTGGCATTAAATTCATTCACACTTTACAATCATCACACCATCTAGTTTCGGAACTTTCCCGTGATTTCCAATTGAAACTCTGTGTCCATGCGCATCCCCTGGTGATGTCTACTCTGTGTTCTGTGTCTGTGAGCTAGCCTGCTCAGGTGTCTCATACTGGTGTCATTACGCAGCACCTGCCCTTCTGTGTCTGGCTTATTTCACTCAGTGCAACATTCACAAGGTGTTCTCATGTAGTAGAATATGTCAGAGTGTCATTCTCTTTTTACTTGAGTTCTTTTGTGAGCAGCTCTGGTACAATCTTTAACAATAAGCTAATAAAGAAACATGCCTCCTCTGCCAGGATCATCTTTGTCTTGGCTCCAAGGTTCTGGGGTGACTCCTGAGGGGGGAGGACCGTCCCCCCTTCATCTGCAGCCACCTCCATCTCCCGTACCCAACAGTGGCATCAGAAGTTTCTGAATTCCATAGTGTATATATTCCACATTTTCTTGATCCATTCATCTACTGAGGGGCATCTGGGTTGGGTCCATATCTTAGCTATGGTAAATAATGCTGCAATAAACATAGTTGTGCTGGTAGCTTTAGTATGGTCTTGTTTGTGATAAATGCCCAAAAGTGGGATTGCTGGGTCATAGGGGAGCTCTATGTGGAGTCTTTTGAGGAACCTCCATACTGCTTTCCAAAGTGGTTGAACAAGTTTACACTCCCACCAACAATGCAGTAAGGTTCCCTTCTGTCCACATCCCCTCCAGCATCTGTTGTTTTTAGAGTTCTTGATTTTAGCCATTCTAACTGGGGTGAGGTGGTATCTCAATCTTGTTTTGATTTGCATTTCTTTTATGGCTAGGAAGGTTGAACATTTCTTCATGTGTCTATTGTCCATCCTTCTTCTCTTTAAGTCTTTAGCCCACTTATTTATTGGGCAGTTGTTTCTTTGAGGATTTGTTGTTGGGGGATTTAATTTTTTGAGTTCCAGGTATATTTTAGATATGAGACCCTTGTCCATTGTATGGCTAGTGAAGATCTTCTCCCAATCCGTAGGCTTTCTATTGATCTTGCTAGCTATGTCCTTTGCCATGTAGAAGCTCTGCAATTTCATGCAATCCAATTTGTCCAACCTTTCTTTGATTTGTTGTGTTTCTGGGTCTCTATTAAGAAAATTTTGGCCTGTGCCAAGAAAACTTAGGGTTTCTCCTATTCCATTCTGTAATGTTTTCAGAGTGTCTGCTTTGACTCTGAGGTTTTTGATCCATTTGGAGACATATTAAATTCCAGTTTGTTGTTTGTTATCTGTATTACTTTTATGTATGGAATAATTTTGGGTCATAGTCTTTATTTCATGCCAACACCCTTTGTAGAAAAGACTAACTTTACCCCCGAGTTATCTCTGTGGCTGTCATCCCTTAACCAATTGTTGATCTCTTTACTGCATTTTGTACCTGCTTATTCTGATCATTTCATGTGGATGTAAAAATAAAGCATGATATTTTGTACTTGAAAAAAAAAGAATTTTCTGAATAACTGTGGGCCTAGAGTTTCCTCATAGCAACCAGGACTTCCTGGGAGGATGTTAGGTGGGACTTCCCTGGGCTCCAACATTAGAAGATGAGTAGTTTGTTTTTTCTACTCCTTGTATATAAAAGATGGGGATACATAGGCAGTACAAGTTTCTTGAAGGCTTTAGGTTTATGTTTTGGTTTTACTTTTGGGGGTACTAGGTACTAAACTCAGGGTCATGCCACTTGGCGTGTTCCCAGACCTGCTGCTTTTAGTTGGTTTTTCAGATAAGAGCTTCTGCTTTTACCTGGGTTGATCCTGGACCATAATCCTCCTATTTCTGCCCACCAAAGAGCTGAGATTACAAGTATGTGCCACCTGACCTGGTTACTCACAGGTTTGATTTTAGTATCCTGCTTAGAGAAACAAAATTGCTCACAATATTGCCCTCTGCAGTTTTCTCTCCTTGATTTTTCAATTAAAGGTATTCTAATATGGTATTCATAAGCTGGAACTGTCTTCAATCATGTCCATTCAGCTTACAGTGCTTAGCCACATCTGTATGGCTGGCTAGGATGAATTCAATTCTTTGTTCATAAAAATAATTGTATAACTACTGATTTGTCTTGTTTATGCAGCTTTACTAAATCAATATAAGAGAAATGATCAGCATTCTCTTGATTTCTTAGATTAAAACTCTGGAGCAGACCAAAGCCATTGAAGACTTAAATAAATCCAGAGACAGGCTGGAGAAGGTGAAGGAGAAGGTAGAGAAGCAGTTGACATCGGTCAAGTCAGAGCTGGGTTCTCTGGAACACGAGGCCAGGGAAAACAAGGAAAGGTCGAGAACCATGATACAAGTGGTAACCAGTGAAGTGAAGACCCTCAAACAGTCTTTGGAAGAAGCGATGAAGAGGGAAAAGCAGGTGGGCATAGATCTGGTGGGAAAATCTTGTTTGGGAAAGGACAGGATACTTTAAAAGCTCGATGATTGCTCATGTACTTAAAAATATGCACTGCTTCACGGCTCTTTGTGTCAGGGTGTGCTCATCTCTGTGTCTTTCCACATTTTAGTGCATGTTCTGCCAAAGAGAGTGTTATTCATATAGTTCCTTAAAAACAACTTGTAAAGCTTTCTATAGTATTTCAACATATCCATCCTCTAGTGAGCTGGGTTTTTTTTTTTTTGGTGGTTTGTTTCTTTTTGGCATTCCAATACCATTATAGTTTTCTCTAAGAAAAACAATTCACATTTGTGAATTGTGGCATGTGGTGATATGCTGAGCAGTGAAATACCAGTGAGAAGCCAGATTCTGGCTGTGGTGGGGATTTTTGTTGTGTTTGGTGATGGCCTGTGGCGTCTGCATCATCTCCGATCTCCTCAGTTAACATTGAGCAGGGGTTGCATGTCAGGGGAGAAGCCTTATCTCCCGCACAGATGGGTTGCAGGAAAGAGTCACCACTGTCAAACAGTGGCACCCAAACTTCATGGTCAACCAAACCCAGATGGAAGCCATAAAAAGAGAAAAGCCTCATTGGCTGGCTGGCTGCAAGGAGGAGCGTTTTATCTGCTGAGCACATCAGGTCAGACATAAAGAAATGTGTCGCGGGCAGCCTGACCTGCCTTGCCGTGGCTTTCATGCCACTGTCTGAAGCTCGAAAGGGCAGAGAGTGGACGCTGGTCCTAGGATTTTTTTTCTCTTTGGCTGTCTCTGCTTTGACTCATGTGTCAGGCAGGGTTGGAGAAAGCCAAACTACCACAGCAAATGTTCTCAGAAAGGAAACATCTCAGGAATGACACGTTTTGGGCCACATTGAAAAGGGTGGGAAAGTCTGGGGGAATCTCGACATCCGGGAGACCTGGCTGGCCTCTTAGTCTGTTTTGGTGCTGTAAGAGAGTGGTAGAACTGCGGAGGTGTTCAACTAGATGCCTAATTCTCATCGTTCTAGAGCTGGAAAAGGTCAAGGTCAAAGTGATGGGCAGATGGACAGACGGTGTTTTCTCATGCAGTCCTCACATGGTCCAAGGAACAGAGCAGCTCTGGGCCTTTTGTAAGGGGGTGGGGCTCAGCCATTGGGCTGTCATGAAGCCTAGTTAACTCCTATCATGATATCATCAAAATCTAATTAACTCCCAAAGCCCCAGCTCCTGACCCTATGGGTGATTATATCACATGGGTTATATTCATGTCTATCAATCTATCTTCTATTTTATCTATCTGTATCTTCTATCTTTCATCTATGTATCTGTGTATCTATCTATCTTCTATCTGTTTTGGGGGAAGGACACTAGCATCCCAGTGCCATCATGTGAAGAGAACCCTCAACATGGAAAGGCTATTGGCTGTTGAAGAGTTGGGAACTTCCATAAAGAGTGTGGGCTGGGCATGTTGGATGGCATTCTCCTGATACTACTCCATCTCAGGTTGAATTTTACCTTTCCCCAAATGACAGGTACTTGTACTGAGGTGCTATCTAGATAGTTGTGTGTGTGTGTGTGTGTGTGTGTGTGTGTGTGTGTGTGTGCTGCTACTGGGGCTTGAACTCAGGATCTCTGAGCTTTCTCTTAGCTCTTCCACTCAAGACTGGCACTCTATCACTGAGCCATGCCTCTAACTTGCAGTGTTTTGGTGATTAATTGGAGATAAGAGTTTCTCCGGTTTGTCTGTCAGGGCTGGCTTTGAACATGATCCTCAGATCTCAGCCTCCTGAGTAGCTAGGATGATAGATATAATTCATGGGTGCCTAGCATCTTACCTCTTCTTACTTTTTTTTCCCAGTCCTGGGGCTTGAACTCAGGGCCTGGGCACTGTACCTGAGCTTCTTTTGCTCAAGGCTAACACTCTACCACTTGAGCCACAGTGCCACTTCCGGCCTTTTCTGTTTATATGGTACTGAGGAATTGAACCCAGGGCTTCATGCATGCTAGGCAAGCACTTTACTACTAAGTGACATTCCCAGCCCATCTTCCCTCTTCTTGATGGGCAAATAGTAGTCCAAGGTCAGTGTAAGGTCACAATCAGTGAGGAGGCAGGCTGTGTGGCTTGTCTTCTTGATAATCTAGGAAGCCTCCTGTTTTCATTGGCTTTCTTCCCATTTGTTCTTTTGCTAGTTTCAGAAGTTCAGTCCTCAGTTACAAGGAAGAAATGCTTACAGTTCACTGACATCCCTACCAATATACACATCATGCATGCTCTGTAGCACACAGAACACACACAGTCTTCTTTCACTTATTCCCAGCTTCAGGATAGGTAAGTTCATGGAGAATCCTACACTGGAAATGAAAAAAAAATGAAGTTTAAGTGAGGTCAGGATCTCAGTTATGATTGTTTTTGTTTTGTTTCTTTTGTGTTTTGACTGGGGCTTGAACTCAGGGCCTCATGCACTTAGTATTTTTAAATCAAGGCTGGTATTTTCCTTTTATTTTTAATATATTTATTGCTGTTGTAGAGGTGATATACAGAGAGCTTACAGTTATGTAAGTCAGGTAATGAGTACATTTCTTTTTGAACCATGTCACCCCTTCCCTCATTTTCTCTGGATGGTGCTTTCTTTACTACTTGAATCTTACCTACACTTCTGGCTTTTTGCTGGTTAACTGGAGATAAGAGCCTTATGGACATTTCTTCCCAGGCCGGCTTTGAACCTTGATCCTCAAATCTCGGCCTCCTGAGTAGCTAGGATTACAGGTATGAAACACTGGTGCACAGCTGAGTGAAAATCATTTAATTGGGGATCTTGATTCACTAGCGAGCTCTCACACCATCAATTGGCTCATCAGAAAACTGATTATGAAAGTACCAAAGCTAAAGGGACTTCATAGGATACAAGTCCATGTTTTACTATCATCTTAATTAATGAATTAATTTGGTGTCAATCCTGGGCTTGAACTCAGGGCCTGATGCTGTCCTTTAGTAGTAGTAGTTGTTGTTTTTGATCAATGCTAGTGTTCTACCACTTGAGCCACAGCATTTCTGGCTAATTTTGGTAGTTAATTGGAAATAAGTAAGATTTTCTGCCCTGGCTGGCTTCAAACCATAATCCTCAGATCTCAGCCTCTGAAGTAGCTAGAATACAGATGTGAGCCACCAGCGCCAGCTTAGTTTTGTGTTCTTGTTGCTGAATTTTACCCAGCAGTAGTTTCTGTCCTGTTAACATGTTTCTGTTTGTTGTTGCAGCTGGTGGACTTCAGGGAGATAGTGTCTCAGATGCTGGGCTTGAACATGACCACTCTTGCTCTTCCTGATTATGAGATCATCAAGTGTCTTGAAAGACTGATCCATTTACACCAGCACCATTTTGTGACCTGTGCCTGCGTCAGTAACCTCACAACAGGGCAAGATAGGCACCTGGGAGACCATTTAAAATTTCTTCACTGAACACTGATCTCTGTAGAGGGAGGTGGAGCTGAGATGGCACACAGAGTTCCATGTCACACAGTCTTTATAGAAATGGGATCATATTCTTCGATAACTTAGCATGGCTGCACCATGGGCAGAAAAGGATCTCAGAGGTTCCAGCCCCACACACATGTTCAGTTCCAAAAGCACCTGTTGCTTCATTTGCTAGCGCTCTGAGATGGAAGAATCCCTCCAGACTGCATCCTTGAGTGGGGAGTACGAGTGGACAGTTCCCAGTGATGACATAGCTTTTTTTTTTTGAGTTGGAGCTTTACAAGACAAATCAATTCTCATCACAACGATGGGCAGAATCTTCTAAAAATTGTTTTTTGATATGTGCTTTTATTTAATGCGTAGTAATTGTACCTGTTTCTGGGCTACAGTTCATGAGATTTTTATCCCCAATGAATCACTAAAAAGCAAGGAGCTGTGTCTCAAGTAACAGAGCACCAGAACCAAGAGAAAAATCCAGATCTTAAGTTTAGGCCACAGTATGGTGTGTACACGAAAACCTGTTTAAAATGTTGCTATTAGATCACATCTGATGATAATTGTGAATGTTTGAACAGGGCTGCTCAGTTCTTTAAAACTGAAATCTTCCACGTGAACACAACCCCACCAGGATAAAGCAGTCCTGTTCAGTTTTATTCACGAATGGATCAAATATACTACAGCAAGGAGAATTTTTCATGATTCTGACTTTATAAAATAAAAATCTAGGCTGGGAATGTGGCTTAGTAGTAGAGCGCTTGCCTAGCATGCCATAAAGCCCTGGGTTCGATTCCTCAGTACCACAGAAAAAGCCGGAAGTGGCGCTGTGGCTTAAGTGGTAGAGTGCTCGCTTAGCACAGAGAGGTTCAAGGACAGAGCTCAGGCCCTGAATTCCAGCCCCAGGACCCACAAAAACCAACCAAACAAACAAAAAACCTCTACCAGTTGCTGACTTTGTTTATAATTTTTATTGTGCAAATATTTTTCAAGAAACCATTTTCTTGATTTTACTGAGAAAAATCTGTTGTCTCTTTTAGATTATCTTAATTTTTGCCATATAAAATGTCTACTCTTTTTGAGGAGGTTGCGCAGATAGAAACTGGATGAAGAATTTATTAGGGTTTTTTTTTTGAGGGTTCTGGGTGTTTGAACTCAGGGTCTTGAGCTTGCTAGGCTGGCATTCTACTGCTTGAGCCACACCTCTAGCCCTAATTTCTGCTGATTATTTGGGATATGGAGTCTTGTGGACTTTTCTGCCCAAGCTGATCTTGAGCTGAGACCTTCCAGATCTCAGCCTTCTCAGCAAGATAAAAGACATGATTCACCAGCTGGCTAAAATGTTTAAGTCATTATTGTCTTATTGAAATTAAACATAGGATCTAGTGCATCTAGAATTAAGAAAAAAGGGCAAAATATACAACCATTTATAAAATTGTTTTTTTTATAAAATTGTTTAAAAAAGTTAAAAAGTCAATGTCATAAATAATGGACAAGTTACTAGTTGATGGAGAAAAGATTAAAGAGAAATAATCATTTCAAAAGCCAAAACTAGATTAGATCATGGTTTAGATAAAAAGGCATAGAAATATTCTTATGACAATTGGATAAACATGAATGTGGGCTCAATACTAGATGACATTTTTTTTCAGTTTTGAATCTTGATAAATGTGCTACTATTGATTGTTAATTTTGCAGTCATTAAAAAAATCTCAATACCCATAGTGCTATGTGAAATTAGTGATAAGGTGGAGGGAAAAATCAAAACATTATTTCTAATAAAATTACCATCTAATAAGCGTAGATCAATGGTGAAAACAGTGAGGAAATGAACGTCTAAAAGTCAATGAGAGTCCCTTCACGGTTGGAGGACAGACTCAGAGAGGGTGGCCGTGGTCCGATCCGGGCAGGCCATCTCTGCCTGGCTTTCTCCCTGGTGTGCGAGGCATTGACGTGCCAGTGCGTGACCAGGTGTGGCCCTGACTGAGGTCACAGCTGGGTTTCCCCCGAAGCCTGAGATCAGCCTTGTGTTTTCTGCAGCCCATGGAAGCCCCACGCTAGCAGAAGTGGCTATTCAGGTCTACCTTCCCTCAAGAGGAGGAAATGACGGCACCGGCTCTCTTAAGCCTGTTCACATGAGTGTGTTCGCATCATTAAGGAGACTGCTCCTGCACATTCTGTTTGCATTTTCCAAAGATTGTATGTCTTTAATAAATTTATTTTCTCTGTAGATTTATTTCCTACTCAAGTCAACGATACTTTCAGCAGTATCTTGAACAGTACAACTGTGTCATTCTTCTAGTTTTCATAAAAGAGACTGACGATAGTCTATATTAGTGCCAGCACCACACTTTATCCCATGAAATGATTGATATTCCATTTATCCAAATGGTTGTCCAAATGGTTAACCAGATGGTTAGTTAGTACTTTTACTCTAGGAATCAAATGTACATACAATAATAAATACATCCATCCATAGAATAATGTTCAATATACACAGAAGCATTAAAATGTTTAATTTAGCTGAAAGCCAGTGATTCATGCCTGTAATCCCAGCAATTCAGGAGGCTGAGATGTGAGCATTATGGTTTGAAGCTAGCCCAAGCAGGGAAGTCTCTTAGCTCCAATTATCTACCAAAAAAGCTGGAAGTGTGGAGCTGTGGCAACTCAAGGTGCTAGCCTTGAACCAAAAACTCATGGATGGTACTTAGGCCCTGAGTTCAATCCCAGGACTAGAACACACACACACACACACACACACACACACACACACACACACACACACACAAAATAAAAGCTTAATTAAAAAAAAAGCTAGTGGTTTACAGTGGAAAAGATCCGTAAGGTAAAGTTAAGAAAAGTAACTTTTAGATGTGCATATCTGCACGTAACTATTTCTCATATGGACAAATTGAAAATCTGCTCACATTGTCATTTCTCTTTGTCCCCTTGTTAAAATGCCAGCCATTTGTTGGTTTTTCTCTGTGGTGCAAGTCAGAGTTGGCAGGCAAGCTTCCCGTTTTTATGTTAGATTTTGCTCTTCTGTAATATCTATGTATATTTTATGTTGAGCAATAAAATACATCAGGGTGCTGTGATTTTAAAATAAGGGCTTAAATATTTAATATGAACTCTTCTACTCAATATACTCGAGTGATGTTGTTACTGAGGTTATTATTCTAGCCACTGAGACATCTGAAAATATTAGTGTAAAATATCTCCAGAAAAACTGTAAGCCTGGTCTATGTAAATAGACAGTTTACAGAGGCACAGGGGTGATTGTGATCTGTGGGTAGGGGTAGAAGAGCACTTGCAGGAATCTATAATATTGACCTATATTGATGCCAAGCACTTGGAAGTTTGGTTTTTAGTGGGGCAGAGTTTCATAGCCTTTGACCTGGAAGGCAGTTCCTCATTTATGCAGCAGTTATGCATGTGAGTGCATGCTCCGGTTACCTATTCATCAGCAGAGAGAGTCTAGATGTGTCTCTCTTTCCTGTGTGGCTTCCAGATGTGTGTGTGTGTGTGTGTGTGTGTGTGTGTGTATGTGTCTTGAACTGCTGGCACTCTACCACTTAAGCTATGTCTCTAGTCCAGCTTTTCTAATTTAACTGGGGATAGGAATCTTTCAGATTTGTCTGCCATGGCTGGCTTCAAATCCTGACTCTCAGATCTTAGCCTCCTAAGTACTAGGATTAGAGGGCAGGAGCTATAGGAGTGCATGCCATGCTCTGATTATGGCTCTTTTGAAGCTTCCGGTAGCTGATGAATACTTTGTCTCTGATCTTCATTGTGGTTACTGCCTAATATCCTGTTTGTTCTGTCTTCCTCAAACTTTGCAAATGGCTCATGGATATAAACCTTCCACCACACAGAGAGCTGTTTTCATTTTGGATGACTCTTAAGGTGCACAGGCCAAACTAAGCTAGAACATCTCTGCAGTTCCTGGGCCTTCTCAGGTCTAAAACTTTTATCCTCTTTGGCTTTAGCTACTCACACCCTAGACTGCATTGTTGTAGAGCAAAGCAGTTAAGCTGGAAAGAGAATGTTGAGGCTCATTCGCAAGACTGAGGTGCAGACTAGGGTAAGCCTGGTAGATCCTGGGACTCAGAATGCCTGTCTGGATTCTTGTCCTTGCCACCCACTGCTCATCTCTGCTTGATTTTGCTGGTCTGTGCGCACTGGCCTCCGTTCTGCCATTGACAGATGGGCTCCTCCATGCTGACTGGAAAGTGGTCTTTACAGCAGATTGGATGAGAACAAAACCATCTCCAAGTGTCTGTGAGAAATCTCAGAGAAGAGCCAGATCATCTTCTCCTGCCTGTTCCCTCAAACTTGAGCTCTGAACTCTTCATTTTTCTTCTTATTGGTTAGATGTGATGATGCACACCTATAATACCAGCCACTTGGGAGATGTAGATTGGCGGAATCGTGGTTTAGGGCCAGCTCAGCCAACAGGTTAGCAAGAATACCATCTCAGTCGACAAGATGGATGTGGTTATACATGCCTATAATCCTAGCTAAGCTGGAGGCAGAGCAAGGAAGGCAGGTCCAAGGCTAGACCTGGACAAAGAGCAATAGACCCTATATGAAAAAACTCAATGCAAAAAAGGTAGGAGGTATGGTTCAAGTGGTAGAGTGCCTTCTTACCAAGCACTTGGCCCTGAATCCCAAAACCCTAATACCAACCCCCAAAATGTATGCACACACATGTGGGGCTTGAACTCAGGGCTCGGGCACTGTCCCGAGCTCTTTTGCTCAAGACTAGCATTCTACCACTTTGAGATACAGCTCTACTTCTGTTTTTTTCTGGTGGTAAATTTGAGATAAGTGTCTCATGGACTTTCCTACCTCGGCTGTCTTCAAACTACAATCCTGAGATAGCAGCCCCCCGAGTAGTTAGGATGACAGGCATGAGCCACCAATGCTCAGCTTTTTAAAAATGAATAAATATATATTATAAATACTGGGTTTTGAATTCAGGGCCTCATGCTTGCTAGGCAGGTTCTCTGCCACAGGGCCTTGTCTGTAGCCCTTTTTTTGCACTGGGTATTTTTGAAATAGGTTCTCATTCTGACCAGGTAGAAGAGCAAGCCACAAGAACAGTGATCTGCCTATTTTAGACTTAGTTAAAGGGATAGTGATTCTGAAGCACTATACCTAGACTCTACTGTGGGTATGGAATCTCGTGGACTTTTCTAGGATGTTGGGCACATGCCACTGCAACTGGTGATTGGTTGAGAAGGAGTCCTGAGACTTTTTCT